AAGGTCAAAGCACCTGAGAAAGGACAGAGTTTGACACTGGTGGAGAAATATACCAGGGGAAGTGTTGAGGGGGGCAGGAATGTGCTTTAAATATATGGTGTGTCTGCAGCCTATGTAAGAACTGGCACTCAGAGAACAAGTTCGCTGTTGCTATATGCTGGCCTTTGCCAACCTGGTGTTTTGGACTACAACTCCCACAACCTGGTTGGGATGGATGGGAGCTGTGTTCCAAACCATCCAGAGGACACCAGGTTAGTGATAATAAAGACACCACAAATCAAACAGAAAGTTTTAAAATGCTCAAAATGAAATGGTTTGCTTTGCTCAAAATGAAATGGCGCCAGGAGGAGGCAGTATGATTTTGCGCATGGGGCAGAAGGGACTGTTAACACGGCACTCCTGGTTTTTAAAAGAGGTGCGGAGGAGCCTGGCAATTGCCTCGATTCTGAGCAGCACCCTCTTTCATGTTGCGAAGGGAGAAATCAAGCCAGGCACATGGCGTTCATGACACACTGAAGGCTCATGATGTCATTGGAGCATGTTGCCATTGGCTGAACAATGATCCTGAGGGCAGGAGGATGGGTTTCTTAGCAACCTGCTTTCAGAGCAGCTTCACCCTGTTGTGGGTGTCACAGGAGGTCTGTTCTGCAGGGGCAGGCTGGCACAAGGGCAGGCTGGCACAAGACAGCTGTGCTCTGTGCCCCTCCAGGTTGTGTGCCCGGGCACGGCGCCATCCTGTCGTGTCCCTTTAGGTGCCTCGCTCTCAGCCGTTCCACTTGTCAGTCGGAGCTGTGGTTTGCCACCACAGCCAGCAGGTGGAACTTATGCGCCTCTCAGACAGGCTATTAGCAAGCTCTTTGGCCGCCTGCCCTGGCTGAGCTCTGGAGCAGCACATGGTGTGCTCAGATGATGCTGTGCATCTCCCACGCTCTGCGGGGCTGGACTGCAGGCCTGTGAGGGCAGCACACATTTGCACACATGCACAGAAGCGCACACTTCCTGCTAGTGAACTTGCTGTGCGTGCGCGCGCACACACACTGTTCCACCCTGTACTTCTGTGGAAAGATCTTTAGCCAGGTCCATTAAAAGGAAATGTTCTTTGGAAGGGATTCCCCCTTCCTTTGTTTTCCAGTTACTACTTGTTCAGTTTATTCTGAGAGTGCTGATGTGGTGGTTCCTGCCCCACCACCACACTTCCCCTTGTCTTTTATCCACCAACATCAAATTCTGTTCTTTTTCAGATGCTTTGACCTTCTGGGATTAGCCTAGTGCTGGGTTTTTCCGTTTTGGAGGGGAACCTTGGGCAAGTTGATCTCAGTGGGCTCCGTCTTACTGATTGTGGCCTCTTTCTTCTGCCACTTAAGAACATAGGAGCCCTTCTGGATCAGATGAAATGGCCCACCTAGTCCAGCATCTTGTTCTCACAGATGCCCATGGGAAGCCTGAAAGCAGGACCTCAGCAGAACAGCTTAGAATCTTGGAATTTTAGACTTGGGAGGGAACACAAGGGTCATAGCTCACCAAGTCCAACTCCCTACAATGCAGGAATGTTTTGCCCAGGGTGGGGCTTGAAGCAATGACCCTAATGTTAAGAATCTTCATGCTCTACCTTGGTTTCATCCCTTGTGATTCCCAGTTACTGGCTATTGCTGACTTCCCACCTAGCAGTTCAAAAGCACGTCAAGTGCAAGTAGATAAATAGGTACCGCTCTGGCGGGAAGGTAAACGGCGTTTCCGTGCACTGCTCTGGTTCGCCAGAAGCGGCTTAGTCATGCTGGCCACATGACCCGGAAGCTGTATGCCGGCTCCCTCGGCCAGTAAAGCGAGATGAGCACTGCAATCCCAGAGTCGCCTGCGGTTGGACCTAATGGTCAGGGGTCCCTTTACCTTTACCTTTACCTAGTCCCTTGTCTCTCCTCCTGGACCTGATTCACTTCAACTCTTAGAAGGAGCTGTTGAGATGCGGAAGAGGGTTAATGCTCCATCTTCTTGCTCCTCCAACTGTTTGCTCACTCACGGAGGGCAGGTGAGCAAGCAAGCAGTGCCAGGAGGCAGGATATATAGCTCAGTGGTAAGAGCATCTTCTTCGAAGGTCCCAGGTTCAATCCCTGGCATCTCTAGGAAGGACCTTTTGTTTATGCTTAGCTGGGAAGTGTCCTTGAGCTCTGCTTATCACTGGTCTGTGTGGAGCATAGAGCATGTCTATAAATGAAAAATTTATATTCGTCGTTCTAACTACTTTTAACTCTGGGGCTGAAAAAAGGTTCACCACCAGTGAGCTAGATGGACTGTTTGCTTTTTTTGTTATAAGGCCACTTCCTCTGTTTCTAAGGAGGAGGAGGGGCAAAGTTAGAGGGCATAGAAATTGAAAGTGGGTAATAGGTGACCTCTTATTACTATGCAGCAGAAAATTCAGGATGGCTCGAGGGCCAATCAGACGGGGGACATGACAGGATAGTCATTTGTCCTGGACCTCAAACTCAAAAGGGGACGAGCCTCAGATTCAGTTACTTGCTAATTTATTGGCATTTAACAAGTTTATCAGCTTCTTTTTATGTACATTGGACCAAAATAGTGGCATACACTCCCAGAACTGCAAATATAAGCAAATAAGGGAAAGTGGCTTGTTAAAAGACATGGGGGGGTGGTTGTTTTTTGGTTGATGGATATATATTTCCTCAAATGAAAGAGTTAAGAATGTTCATTACTATTAATAATTAAAAATTATGACCCAAGAAGCAGTCCGTGATGAATCTGTACTCTCGGATCAGCTGGATTATATAAACAAACTGTACATGTGTGTGTGATCTTCCTCCCCCAGCCACCACCTGTGGGGGCTACCAAAGCATCACCTTGCCCTCAAGGAAGATCTAGTTTTCAATAGGTATCTCCCCACACCCGTTGTAGCATCTATCGGCTGTTTTATTATATACTTTATGCTTTTTCTTTTAATAAAAGGTAAAGGTAAAGGTACCCCTGCCCGTACGGGCCAGTCGTGACAGACTCTGGGGTTGTGCGCCCATCTCACTTAAGAGGCCAGGGGCCAGCACTGTCCGGAGACACTTCCGGTTCACGTGGCCAGCGTGACAAAGCTGCATCTGGCGAGCCAGCGCAGCACACACGGAAACGCCGTTTACCTTCCCGCCAGTAAGCGGCCCCTATTTATCTACTTGCACCTGGGGGTGCTTTCGAACTGCTAGGTTGGCAGGCGCTGGGACCGAGCAACGGGAGCGCACCCCGCCGCGGGGATTCAAACCGCCGACCTTTCGATCGGCAAGCCCTAGGCGCTGAGGCTTTTACCCACAGCGCCACCCGCGTCCCCTTTCTTTTAATATTCCTGTGTAAATTGCTTTGTGGGGTTTGCCAAGGACAAGTGGGCTTCCCTCCATCAGACCCCTCCCTTCCCCTACCTGCCTTCTTACTTAAAACCAGTCCCAAGCCATGATTTTATAAGGGAGAGCAAGGGGGGCATGCCACCGTTTTCCTCAGCTGCTGCAGAGTGTTGACTCTGGAGGTGGTGGAAGACTCACTCTAAATAGTATAGAAACCTGCAGGGCTTCCACTTCAGGCTGGCCCCAGAAGATGGAAAACTTGGGCCTTTTCCAGGAGCCCCAAGTCCAGCAGAGAGGGCTCGCCACCCCAAGGGTGCTATCATAGAATCGTAGAGTTGGAAGGGACCCCAGAGGTCCTCTCGTCTAACCCCCTGCAATGCAGGAATCCTGCCCACAGCCAAACCACCCTTGTACAGAATATTCAAGAACATCAATGGCAGCCTTGGGTAATTCTGTTTACGTCCTGCTTTTTCCAGGTGAGGGGTCCCCTCTGAGAATGCCATGCCAGAGAGCTCCCAAGTTCCTGGAGGAGGGTGGTCACTTATCAGTCGCCAAAAAGAGAAGGCACAGCTTTGCATAAAATTTGCATGGATTGCACAAGCTGGGGCTGATGGGAGTTGTAGTCTAAAACATCTGGACGGCACCACATTGGCTACTCCTGCTCTAGGGCTAATTGCCGACAGCTTTCCTAGGTAGGCCTTGCTGTTGGGCTGCAGTGGCCAAGAAATGTCCTTATCAGAGGGCCATGCTCTGTGTGTGCCAGCCCTTCCTGGACGGAGAAAGTCCTGGGTCTTGTCAACCCTTGCACTGCCTTGAGCTCCATACCGGAAGAGAGATGAGAGACGAATGTACTAAGTTAAACAAATTAAAACACCAAAAACAAGGCAGCTCAGCGCTTTCCTAGCAGAATGGGATTAAATGTGGGCAGCTAGAGGTGCTTGATCAGCTAAAATCCTAGAGACGATGAGTTTACTCCCTTCTGCTTAATGGGAAAAGTTTTCGTGTTTTTTAAACGGTTTTATAATGAGCAGAAATCAACAGGTGAATGATTTGTCATCCCTGCAGCTCTGTGCCAATAAAACTTTCACCCAATGATTTCCGCTTGCTTTGTGACTACTCAGTGTGGAACCAAAGTCCTTTTAAAAAAGAGAGAGAGAAGGGGGTGGTGGTAATCTACCATAGCTCACTTCTCCCCTTGTGTATTATCAGAATTGCCCCTTTCTCCCCACAGTTCCCATTTCACAAGCTATTTTTGTAACATTGCGGTTAGCTCATGTAGGGCATATGGTCTATCTGAGGGTGGGGTTCACTTCTACCAGCTGCAGCCCCAGCTGAAGAGCTTCTGGAAGGGAACTTGTAGCTGACAGACATGCAAGCTCTAGGGCACTGGGGTCTGTTCCCATCCCATCCTGCTGGACAGTAAGTGCTTGTGGTCAGAAGAACAGGGACGGAAGACAGAGGACTGCAGAGATCTGGACTCCTTCTGCACCAAGGTCCGTTCTATGGCTGGGGTTGGGGGTAGAGAACGTAGGAAGGTGTCATGTGCTAGACCAAACTAATTTAGCTGTCTAGCGAAGTGTTGTTCACTCTGACTGACAACAACACTCCCGCTTCTCGGGCAGAGGGTCTTCCCTATTACCTGCAGCCTTGTCCACATTTAACTGGAGATGCTTAAGGATAGCTCAGTTGGTAGAGCATGAGACTCTTAATCTCAGGGTTGTGGGTTCGAGCCCCACGTTGGGCAAAAGAGTCCTGCATTGTAGGGGGTTGGACGAGATGACCCTCACGTTCCCTTCCAACTCTACAATTTCTGTGATTCTATGAGCACATCCTAGGGCCATCTGCATGGAAGCACTAATTGTCACCAGGTACCTCTTGAGAGCTGAAAACCCTACTTGCTTTGTGAGATCTGCCAGTGCTTTTATTTCCCTTAGCTTGCTGCAAGGCGAGGAGGATTGCATTTCGATTGGAGCAGTGGCAGCTGGGGGAAAGTGTGTGTATAATAATTTTCCCTGGGATGCTTTTGTCATTGTTTCCTCACCTCCCAGTAAGCTGCTGTTAGCACCACAGGGGGTTGCCTGAATCCAGGCTTGATATAGACAACTGCTTTCTTCTGCCCTCCACCCAGCAAAAGGCAATTCAGATCAGGACACAGGCACAAGAGGGAATACCGCCTCTCTCCCAGTTCCATGATCAAATTCAGAGCCCACGCTCCCCATGCAGCGGCTTCAAAATAAGCAACCCTCCTGCAAAAAAGCAGGAAGTGCAGTCATAGATTTCCAACTCTATGTCCATTTTGGCTGAGATAGTAGGTGTCAGATGATGCTGAGGGTTTTGATGGGTGGATGAATGGGTTACTAATGCTATTTAAGATTTGCCTATATTTGGGAAGGGCCACAGCTCATTGGGGGAGACCACCTGCTTTGCCTGCAGAAGGTCCTGGTTCAAGCCCCAGCATCTCCTGGTTCAGGTAGGAATTTCGCCTCCCTGAAACCCTAGAGAGCGTCCCATGAAGAATCCCGGGAACTGTAGTTTTTAAGGGTGCTGAGAATAACAGTTGTATGATTACTTTTCTTAACGAACAACAGTTCCAAGGATTCTTTGGAGAAGACCTGGGAGTTAAAGTGGTTTAAGGGTGCTTTAATGTAAAGGTGTGGATGTGACCTGACTCTGGAAACAAGTCCAGGGCTATCCTGCACTCCTGACTGCTAGGAGGAATCATCTTTTCCACCACTGACTCGGTGCTGGTGTTTTGCTGGTCTTCTTCCAGCCTGTAGCCCTTTCTCTGTTCCTCCACACACACCCAGCTTCCCCTCCTTTTTCCAGCCACACAACCCTCCTTAGGTCAGAGATGCTGCCCATGGCAGGGGCTATTAGGAAATGTAGTCCTAAAATTCCAGAGCCCAGCAATTGAAGCATCCCATATGCCACGGATGAGGAGCCGGTGACCGTCCAGATGCAGATGTTGTTGGACTGCAGCTCCCAGCCTAGCTGTGGCTGATGGGAGTTGTTGTCCAATAACATCTGGAGGGTCACAGAGTCCCCTGTTCTTTACTTGTGGAAATGGGCTTTTGATTTTTATTCTTACCTTTGGGTCCCTGCCTCCTGCCTCCTCCTGCCTGCAGCAGCTAGCTGAAATTCAGGCCCAAAGGGAGAGAAATCCCACTTTCTGTCCTCTGGTAGTGGAATGACGAAGGGCTGACTTATTCCTGGGCTAGCTTTCAATCCCACACTAACTGATCTACTGAGCAGGTGTCCTCTTAAAGTGCATGCAAGGGGTAAATCCCAATTCCTCATTATTACCAAGATCCAGAATGCCCCCTGCAACCAAGCAGCAATAATACACAAATGTGATGGTCAAAGTTAATGCTTGCACAACTGCCTCCGAAAGCATTTATACTGTCAGGTCTATCTGTATAAGTTAATGTCTAGAGTGACAGTTGCCTGCTTGGTACCTGCTCCCCCCTCTGTTGTTGTTGTTGTTGTTGTTGTTGTGTTGTTGTTTTAAACAGGCGTGATTAAACAGCAGAAACATTTGCTTGCTCCCATCTGAGCAGAGATCCAGCCAAAGGGCTCTTCTACTGCCTCCCAGAAGAGGCTCTGGGCAGCTTTCTTTCTCTGATACATCCCAGCTGCTACTCAGGTAGAGCCTCTGGTGCAATTCACGGAGGAAAAGTTCCAAAAGACCCTTTGGCTGTGTCTCGGAGCAACTAACAGGAGGTTCTGTCAAAGCATCTGTTGCTCTTGAAACGGAGGAGGTGGTTAAAGAGTCCCTTGGCTGTATCTCCAGTCAAGTGGGAGTGAGTAATGGTGTGGAAAGCCGTGTTACTGGCCCCTTCAGCCTTTCATCCATCCAAAGCATGGCTATTGCGTTGATAGGAATGTGGACTAGCGATTGTATACACGCAGGAAGAAAAGGACTAAGTTCCTTGGGGGCCAGGTGCTACGGTAGGAGCCAAGCCCCAGCAAAACTGCTGGGCAGGATGGATTGAATTATCAGGTTGCTAGTTGCCAGGGAAGAGAGGATGATGAGTTAGGGGATATCTACATGTGGGAGGGGACGCGGGTGGCGCTGTGGGTTAGATCAGAAGTTGGCGGTTCGAATCCCCGCGATGAGGTGAGCTCCCATTGCTTGGTCCCTGCTCCTGCCAACCTAGCAGTTCAAAAGCACGTCAAAGTGCAAGTAGATAAATAGGTACCGCTCCGGCAGGAAGGTAAACGGTGTTTCCGTGCGCTGCTCTGGTTTGCCAGAAGTGGCTTAGTCATGCTGGCCACATGATCCGGAAGTTGTACGCCTGCTCCCTCGGCCAAGAAAGTGAGATGAGCGCTGCAACCCCAGAGTCGGTCACGACTGGACCTAATGGTCAGGGGTCCCTTTAGCTTTACATGTGGGAGAGAGGATGCATGGATGGCATGCATGCTAATATGCGTGAATGAGACAGAGAAAAGGGGTGTCACTGCCCACTATTCGTGTTGGCCCCTCCTACTGTCATCATGCACACCCAAAGGAGATAGACCCATAGTCTATCTCAGGTGGGGAACCTCCTGCTTAGGGGCCAGATTTAGCCCACCAGGCCATTTCCCCTAAACCTTGCCTGCTTGCTGCATACCTCACATCATATGCAACACTAGGTGTGATGGGACAGGTTGAGTTGTAGCTGGATCAGGTGCCCGGACAACTGATGTCTGCAAAATAATAATAATAACAGGGTTGAACTCCCTGCGCATCAGCTGACGGGCAGGGGGTTCTGTCCTGCCTCCATCCCTGTGGGCCAACTCTGACAGGCAGCAGGACCATCCACCTGTCGCCAACTGCCATCATAATGACATCCTGTCGGGAGTTAAAGATCTGGTCTGCCAGGCCAAAAAGGTTTTCCCACCCCTGCAGTCTCTCAAGACCACAAACACTTCAAGAATTGCGCAGATCCGATGAGTCATCCTGCCTCTCTTTTGTGTTAGCACCCAATGTTCTCAAGCCAAAGTTCTTGATGACATGGGAATAAAAGCCCTGTGGTTTTTTGTGTGTGTTTTCCCCCCTTCTCCCACTCTTCAAAAAAATTGAAAATGGTTCCATAATTGCTGGAGGTGGTTCTGAAATCTAGGTATGGGGCTTGCTTGTTATATGACTGTGGCTAAACCGCTGGAGCAGGGGCCGGCTATACCATGAGGCAGAGTGAGGCAAGCTTCTTCAGCAGCAAATGCTGAGGGGTCGGACATGGGCAAAGCTGACCTGTGCTGTAGCTCCTTAGCTAGCCTGCTGCCCCCAGGAAAAGTAGAGGCTGCTATCTAAGTAAGATTCAACGACCAGGCTGGCTGGCTTTTGTACATGGAATGTGCTACCTCAGGCAGCAAAATGCTTTCAGATCAGCCTTTCTCAACCTATGGGTCCCCAGATGTTGTTGAACTACAACTCCCATTACTCCTAGCTAGGGCTCAGGGATGATGGGAGTTGTAGTCCAACAACATCTGGGGACCCACAGGTTGAGAACCGCTGCTTCAAATGGTCATACCCAGTTGAGTTGTCTCCTCTTTTTATTTCTTCCCTGCAGGATCCAGGTATCTGAACCAGACCAGAAACCTCTGTAGTCCAGCATCCTGTTCTCATAGTTGCTAACCAGGACATGAGCACCTTCCCTGCTTGAGATCCCAGAAACTGGTATTCAGAGGCATATTGCTTCTAATATTTATTCCCCCTCCATTGTCAGTGGAGCATGCCTTTGAATATCAGTTGCTTGGGAATCACATGTGAGGAGAGTCCTGCTGTACTTCGGTTTTGCTTTGCAGGTTTCCCTTGGACATCTTGTTGGCCACCATGAGAACAGAACACTGGATTAGGTGGGTCTTTGCAGGATTTTTTTAAATCATAGAATTGTAGAGTTGGGAAGGGCACGTGAGGATCATCTAGTCCAACCTGCCTGCAATTCAGGAATATGCAATTGTCCCATACAGGGATCGAACCTGCGACCTTGGCGTTATCAGCACCACGCTCCAAACACCTGAGCTATCCAGTGTTCTTACTGAAAGCAGGAGCAGGAGAGCTTCCCCTAGCATGTGGTTGCAGTGATGGGGACAGCTTCATATGTTGGATTTCTGCCTGTTACATAGCTGTTCTGGATGTTTTGCCTTCAAGAAGGTAGCACACTCATATGCTTCAAAACAGGTTGCAGTCCCTCTACCTATTCTACAATCTCAGTAGAGGCTGCATTCCTCCGCTTAGCCCTATAGACAATGCCGACCTCCCCCAAGTGCCCTTCTCGATTGGACTCTGTTGCTTTTGTCTCATTATTCTGAGATTCTTAGAACCTGGTGTGGACAAGACATTCTGTATCCATGGATACCGTAATGTTCTCTTCTTCTAGCAAGAACAGGAATATCCATCTTGAGTTGACAGATTTCATATAGTTGTTTGCCAAGGCACAGTGCATCTGCTGCAAGGTGCTCTGGGATATGCTGAGCAAACCTCCAGATGGTGTCTGTTAGCATAAGCAAGGGGCATGCCTGGGGAGAGGGGTGCTTGACCTTTCACTGGTTGCCCAGAAAACAGCTGTTTGAATCTAACACTAACCTTAAAAGTTGCAAAGGGGCAGCTTACCTATTTAGCAGGGTATTTCTACTGTACTTCTGACGAGCAGTGGCCCTCCAGGATTTCAGGCAGGAATATTCTCCACAGGCCTGCCCAAACCTTTGTTAACTGCAGGTTCCAGAAATTGAAAAGTGGGACCTTTTGCATGGAAAGCCTGCACTC